GAATAGGTCCAACTCTGTAAAGTTTCTAACGGGCAGAGAGACCAAAAGATCATGGAAGGATTTGTTTTTCGTATACTAAGAGTTAAAGAAGGGGAATGGGTGGGGGTTTGATTGGAAAATAATTGGGATGGTTTAAGGGGTGGGGGGGGTTGAGAGTAAAGGGGGTAAGGGATGGAGGGGGTAAGTGGGAGTAAGGGGGGATAAGGGGGGGGTAGGGGGTAGGAGGGGCACTACTCTGTAAAGTGTTCAGTTTGAACGGGGCAGAGAGAACAGACGTTCTTAGATCTTGGTATGGACGAGTAGCTTTGGCGGATCACCAGAGGGGAACACTGTCTCACCTCTTAATCCTTGTGGGAATATACACACAGAGCCTCTCATAGAGGAAGGGAGGGAGATAGTGAGATAAACAGATAGAGAGAGAGAAGACTGAGCGAAGGAGAGAAAGAGAGACAGAGAGAGAGATAGAGAGAGAGAGAGACAGAGAGAGAGAGAGAGAGAGAGAGAGAGAGAGAGAGAGAGAGAGAGAGTTTTGTATTATCTACATCTGGGCAAAGCTGGGTCGACCATTGTCAATAACGCAAAGCTATGCAGCTACTGGTGATCACTAAGAAGAGGAGAAGGATCAGTTTTACAACTTACACAACGTGATATTATACGGTTTTGTAATAGATGACATGAACACAACAGCGCATGACGCAAATGAACGAAAATGAAATATTGTGAACCTGCATGGAGTTGGATGCGTAAGTAACAAAAGTGAAAATTTAAATGAGATGTTTCAAGTAAATAGCCTCGTTGTAAGTGGACCATTATTGTTTCCACATTAAGGTATCCATAAACCTACCATGTGTTCGCCAGGTGGAGGCACTAAAAATCATATGAACCATTGTCGTATTAGAGTGAAATTAAGAACTTAAAATTTTTTTTTAGTGTCTGCAATAATGGAAGGGCAGAGGTAATTGAGAAGGCAAGTAAAAACAACCACCTAAAACGTTTTGATAAAGGGAAAACAATAAAACAGACAAAAAACTTTAGAGATCAAGACGTTAATACAGAATTTAATTTAGAACAAAACTGTCTAACAAATATGAAGGCATTCTGTTACTTAATAAAGATAGTTATGACGCCTTTGAAGATGTATAGAAAGCTATAAAAGAAACATAATGTTGCCACCACAGAGGAGGAAGTTCTTGGATATGGAACAAATCCATTTGCAGAATTAATTCAAGAAGAAACATGGGAAGGTATTGGAAAAAGAGAGGAAGTAAAAGTCTGCTAGCAGATGGCATTTGCCTATTAAACGAGACAGTGATATACAGCGTTCGCCTCTCATTTACTAGGTCTTGGGTTCGAAACCTGACAGCGACGGACTATCTTCTTCTTTAAAGAAATTTTTTCCTTTCATCTTTCCTTTTCTCTAATTATGTTTTGTTGCCTGCTTTCGTCTCCACTTCTTACTCCCTCTCCCCCTTCCCCCTCCCTCTTTGCCCCATCCTCTGGACTCCTGACTCTGTCCGCTGCCTTTCTACTGTTACTACTTGGCTCCTTCTTACTGTTGCCTTTCGTCTACACCCCTGATCTTAGGGTAAGTGAGATCTAACTCCTAGCCTTCTCGTATACGGGCAAAAACAACCTCGAAGGTCCTCTGTGCACGATGCACACATTAAAGATCTCTTTGTGGTCCTAAAATCGATAGGAGGATTCTAAATTCGCCATCCATCCTGAGAGCTGTGAGGAAAAATGTATGTGTGTGTGTGTGGGGGGGAGCTGTGCTCAGTCTTTCTTTTGAGCCGCGAGGGTATGCAAATTAAGTGTCAAATGATGTCTAGGCTTATGTGAATATGTGTCTCTCTCTCTCTTTTTCTCTCTTCTTTTCTCGAACACTTTCTCTTTACCTCTCTGTATAATGTAAATGTGTGTGTATGTGTGTGTGTGTGCGTGTGCGTGCGTGCGTGTGTGTGTGTGTGTGTGTGTGTGTGTGTGTGTGTGTGTGTGTGTGTGTGTGTGTTTGTGTATTTTCTTGCATAGTGATGAGTGCGCGTGCATGTATGTATTTACCTTTCTAGAGCAAATTTCTCTTTATTGATATCAATAAAATTAAAATTTTTTTATCTACATTTATCTGATAAATTGTAAAAGAATTGACATTTTTTTAAAGAAAGTCATATTATGACTTTCAAATTTTCACAAGCAACAAAGATTCCCCCCCCCCCCCCCCGAAAACGAGGCGACCAGAATACAAAGATTGATAATTAAAGACCATCAAGCTCTACATGCTTTTCATTTCATATCTGTTATCCAAACTGGACTACTTGAACATCTCCCCCTTCACCTATCCATTTTTCGATCCATTTCATAAAGGCAAACAATGTTTCGGTTTCTATCCAGCCCATCTCCCTTTGTATATCCAACAGTGAAAATGACGCTTTAAAAAATAATTCATAATCGGCGTAGCATAGAGTATTCAGATTTTGTACGCTAATTAAAATTAGCAATTTTGTCCAAATACTGCACACTGGGTGGTTGGGTTTTGAAGGGAAATCGTTACCGGTAACCCTGACTTTGATCGCATTTTTTGTTTGTATACGCGATACAATAATTGTGGCCTTTATGTTAAAACTGGATCGCATATCAGGATTGCCTACTTTCTTGTTTTTGTTCAAGCTGACAGTGTAGTCAGAAGGCCTTATCTGGTTTGGGGAGCGGGGGGTGGGGGAGGGGTGGATGCAGGAGATATTAGTGCAGAGTGATTAAATAGGAAAAGTAAATCGAGTAGAGGCCTGGTTCTTGTAGTTTTTAAACAGAGTATGTTGAGGGGGGTCGACATGAGAAAAGGAAGGATACACAGCGTGACTGTGGGTTTTTGTTTTTGCTGTTGTTACACATAGGCATAACTCTGCTTTTCGTAAATGGCGGCTCCTCAAGCGTTTGGATGACGGATCCAGCCATTGTAACCCAAACAGTAAACCCTTCCCTTCAAGCCAAAGTCTCCATCCGTTCTGCGACAAGGATTCCTCTCAACCGACGCACCATGGGACGAGCCTTAAAGTCTCTCACACCGAGCTGTTCTTAAGCTCAAGAGAAATAACTCAACCAAGTCCAGATCTATCTCTTCAAAATTACAATGCAGACGGGAAATTGTTTAAAAAGCCTTGACAGAACTCAAATAATCTCAAAGAACATTACCAATAGTCTCGTCTTGATTAAGGTTGATCTTAATAATGCGGTGAGTATGGCTAACAGAACAGTGTTGCAACGTATATTTTTAAAGATGACTCTAAGGAGTCGATTAGATATTATACATTATCTGGAGTAGATCTAATAACGCTATGCGTTTCGTACATTTTGATGCAATTTAACAAATTGGTTTTCTAGATTGATTCCTAAACAAAAATGAAAAAGAACAAAAGAGCAATTTAAAAACAACAACACAATATTTAACCGAAATATTGTCTGTATACAACTTTGGTAAGTGTCAAGCATTCACAAGGGTTGACTGAGCTTAGCTTTTTAAGACTTATTTTTTGCTCTCATTAAAAAATTTTTATTTTAGAAATAGGTTCGTTTTGCTTAAACTGTCTTCAGTCTTCAGCTATTGCACTTCTTCGTTTTATTGGAAAACTTAGCATCGGATGTAATGATACTATACCTTAGCCATTTAAAAAGATAGTTTTCTCGTTTTGGTTGCAATGAAAGTTTCACAAATAAACAATGTTGGGTACCCACAAGAAACCAGTCTTGATACGAACATAATGTGAAGAAGGAGTATGCATTAAGAGAAACAGCTGCCTTTTGTTGTGCAAGCAGGGTCAGGGCTCCAGGCCCTCTTTGTTTTTACATTTGTTTCTTTTTTGACAGTCCATTAGACGTTAAACAGGAAAACTCTCTAATTGCATACATGTGCTATGGATACTAATAAAGCAAGATAGTATGCAGTGTTACATATTTCAGGTATCACTAGCGTAATTGCGGGTAATGAGGTGATGACTTGAAAGCTTTGCGCAAAAGATAGATATCCGAAAATCTTTTTCTTTGTCTCTATGAGTTCTAAGTAAAATTGTGATAAATACACTGCACATTTCAACAGCAGTGTCAAGGACTTAATGTTCCTCATTCATGTTTAAATGTAGGCATTTTACAGCCAGATGGATACAGTTAAGTTCATTTTCGAGGCGAGCCTCGGCCCTCCCTGCATGGACTAACCTGGCCTGAGAGAGATACAATGTCCCTGAGGAAAGACCGAGAAACTCGATAAAAATTTTTCCCACACGTGAATCGAACTCAGGTCTTCTGAGTGCGAGGTCGATGCACGTAATCGCCACACCATAGACACCAGTTCACCATCACTGACATAGAAATAGCTTCCGAGTCAGAGTGTAAAAAAAGGAGGGGGGTGTTTTTAGGGGGGAGGGGGGTGCTGTGAGATCGGCTATCGCTCCAAGGCTGTTTATTATTGTTTGATAACGATATCTCAACGAAAATCTAGCTTGGGTACAAGCAGTTTGCAGACACAAATACCGTAGCTTCCTCCGCGCCAGAACTGTTGTTTTGCCAACTGGCCGTGGTGGTGACACCTTAATGTAGTATGCCGTTCATGACCAATAATTTCCTCTGACGTACAAATCGATCTTGCCAGCATAATTATCTGAAACGACCACGGAAGAAATTAACTGACGGGTGCTCTGTTAGCCTGGAAAAAGAACAATACTCGAGATTATTTGAAACACAATGACTACATTCGCAAAGTAAAAAAATGAATTATTTCTTTTTAAAGCTTCCTTTTTTCCGGCAGTTCTTTGTTCGTTGACGTGGAAGAACTGGAGAAGCCAAATTAATGTGTCTTGTTCGGAAGATTATTGTTTAACAAAATGTTTACTATGATTGACATAAATCAGGAAATACATTCATCTGACAAAGACACAGTTTTCTTAATCTTGTACAACCGAATAATTTTTTTTTACGCTTAATCTCGGGCTTTCAGTTACACTTGTTTGACCCTCCATGCTCCACCCTCCCCATCTGTCTCTGTCTGTCTGTCCGTCCGTCTGTCTGTCTGTCTGTCTGTCTGTCTGTCTGTCTGTCTGTCTGTCTGTCTGTCTGTCTGTCTGTCTGCCCCCCCCCCCCACCTCTCTCTCTCTCTCTCGCTCTCTCTCTCGTACTCTCTCTTTCTCTCTCTCTCTCTCTCTCTCTCTCTCTCTCTCTCTCTCTCTCTCTTCCCTCACTTTCTCTCTTTTTTCACTTTTCTCTCTCACTGCCTCCTTCTTCCTTCCTTTCTCATTGTTTCTCTCTTCCTCTCTCCCTCCCTCCCCCTCTCTCTCTCTCTCTCTCTCTCTCTCTCTCTCTCTCTCTCTCTCTCTCTCTCCCTCTCTCTCTCTCTCTTCAGTATACATATTATATTATAGTACAGTAAAAAATTCGAGGCGCGACGTATTGACAGATATCTCCTCAACTATAGAACACAAGCTCTCCAATTTTTGCACAATGACTTGTATCAATTTAACAAATCAACATTTTTGTAAACGCCTGCTGGTTATATTCTAGAAAATTCTTTTGTAAATACTAATAAAAAATCCAAGTGCGTGGTTTCTACCGATTTTTAAATGTTTACAGCCGGGGTAATAGTGCTTTTAATAGCAAGTTCGTCCTGTCTTTCTAATCGGGACATTATGCTTATTGAACGCATGTTTTGAAAAGCATTAGTACCAACAAAAAAAAAATGTGTTCACTATAAAAATAATTTCTTCTAACAAGTTTTGCAAGTAAAAAGTGTCATTGATGAGCTGTGACGTAGGCCATATGCGTAATCAAAATGTGTGTGAGAAGTGAGGAGTGCTGTGGTGAAAAATACCATTTAACGTGTGACAGAGATTTCAAGCATTTTATATAAATTTATGAAGAAAAGTTTTAAAATCTAGATCTAGATCTAGCTCCAAATGTTCTGAAAAAATATGATTTAGTTAAGACAAATAGAAACAAACTGCTGCGCAAAGTATGAATGACATTGATTCACTCGCTAAAGAGATATTTGAGGATAAGTTGCACCACGAATTTTTGACCACACTATGGTTGAAAATATCTCATAAGTTTGTTTAAAAAATGTCTTTTAAAGTTTAGTCTTCGGATTTATTTTCACTATCAAACATTCTAAAATTTCCCATAAAACAGAATCATCTTGGTAGACTTTCTGTTGCAGTCAAAATTTGAGTACAAAAGAGTTTACTCTTTTTATTTTAACGAGAAAAAAATGCATTTGGACTGAATACATCGGCATCCTTGTTTTTCTTTGAGGTCAAAGCCCTCACGTCTCCAGATCAATTGCAGTCTAGAAATTATAATCATTTCGTGGTATTCCCTATTTTAACACTCTTGGTAAGCAAACCACAGTAAGAAGTATTTCTCTGTAACTTCGCTCAGGTTTCACGATTAAGAAGCGGATCTTTGTTATTGCATGAATGTGTCTGTGTGCGTTTGTTTATTTTGTTTGATTGTTTGTGTGTGTGTGTGTGTGTGTGTGTGTGTGTGTGTGTGTGTGTGTGTGTGTGTGTGTGTGTGTGTGTGTGTGTGTGTTTGTGTGTGTGTGTGTGTGTGTGAGTTAAAATATTTGAAGGTGGAATGTTGTTTATAACCCCATTCAAGGAATGGGCTTTTTACTTAGACACATACAAACAACTCTCTCTCTCTCTCTCTCTCTCTCTCTCTCTCTCTCTCTCTCTCTCTCTCTCTCTCTCTCTCTCTCTCTCTCTCTCTCTCTTTATATATATATGTATATAATATATTATATACACAAATATTATATTATTATTTATATGTACATATATTCATATATATATATATATATATATATATATATATATATATATATATATATATATATATATATATATATATATAAGGCCTATACATGTATATACATGATTACATAAATAAATAAATGTATATATATATAAAACACATATATACATGTATATATAAACAGAAAAATACGAGTTAATACACGTAGAATAGAAGAGAAGAGAAGAGAATATGTAATGTGTATGTATGGCTCTTTTCGTCTAAGCAGATGGCCTCAATGTTGTCTTCATGCAGTTTCCTTCAAGGCTAATTCTTCACATGTGCTTGCATGTCAGTGACGTGGATCGAAGCTCTGTATTTCCTTTATTTTCCTTTCGTTGTTGGCACTTCTCAGCCTGGTTGTTTCTAAACCTGCTCTCTAACATTGTAGTTCTTTCCTTCATAATTTTCCTCCATGTTTTCCTGTCCTCAGCTACTTCTTCCCAGATGCTAACATCGACTCCAAGCTAAGATAAGCTGTTTTTGCAGGTGTTTAGTTGATCTTGGTCTTGGTCTGGAGTCGAGCAAGATTGAACATCGACCCGTCAGTTCACATTGTATAACTGGCAAAAGCTGTACAAAAAGCTGAGGAATTCACAAAGGCAAATGCAGGCAATAAGTTGACAGTTATAGCAGATCAGACCCGATATCTTCAAAATCAAGCAAGAAAGGTATTAGAAGACGCCAAGCGAGACGCATCGTTACACCATGCTGCCTGTAATATAGTGAAGCGTCCCGGTAGAATGTACTACTTGTACGAGAGAGAATCTGGACAAAGTTACCTCAGCATTCTCTCCCCACAGGAATGGGGAGCCAGTTGTCCTTATGAATTCTTGGGCGCCTTCAGGATGGAGTACGACCAGTCGTGGACACCCATCAAGGAAGTTGAGAAACGTGACGCACAGAATGCGATCATTGACAAGATCTACAACGCTAAGCTGGTCATCGCGGCGGGTTCCACCACCGCAGATCTGCTGGGTTTCAGGAAGGTGGAAAGTTCCTCACAGACAGCAGATGTTACCGAAGTGCAGGGGGCAGAAGGAGATAGCTAGGGTTTTTTTAACAAAAGGTTTTTATAGTGACATGCAGTGGAGTCTTTCTAAAATAATCATAACTGTAATTGTAAGTATTTAACACCCCCATCAATGCAATGTAGCTGCATTGGCCTTTTCTGTCAGGGCTACTCCAGACTGAGTGTGAGAAAGCATCCTAGGAGACTGATAGCCAAACTTTTCAAAACAGAAATCAAACTCACACATTCTGCTTGCGTCGACATCTCACTGACATGCAAGCACTGCGACAGAATATGCGCTTCAAACATGTGAAGGATTAGCCTTGAAAGAAGCTGCATGAAGACAACATTGAGGCCATCTGCTTAGACGAAAAGAGCCATACATACACATTACATATTCTCTTCTCTTCTCTTCTATTCTACGTGTATTAACTCGTATGTATCTGTTTATATATACGTGTATATATATGTT